CACACGCACTGGGGATGTGTGGGAGAGCACTGTGGGCATCGGACCGGCCAAGGGGCGAGGTGAGCGGGGTCATGCAGAGCCCACGGGGAGTCCTGGAGCTGGCTGGTCCTGCACAGCGGCCCTGCCTTGGGGCCAGGGGCCAGACCTGTGCACCCTTCAGGGCCCGGTCACTGCATTTGGGCAGTCCTGGGGAAGGGGACAACTTTGGGTCCCCTTTGAGGCAATTCTTGGGGAGAGACACAGCTGTGAGCCAGCCACCCACAGTCAGCTGTCCTGACGGCTAGAGCAGGAGGGCCTGCGCCTGGGACCGGGGCCTGGAGGGGGGCTGGTGCCCTGCGGTGCGTCTGTAGGGAAATGCTGCAGGAGGAGGCTGGGATGCACCGAGAGAGGGTGGGCTCTCTGAATTCCAGGGCACGAGAGGACTGCAGGGGACCGAGAGAGGCCCTCCCGAGACAGAGACAGGCTGAGACGGACAGACCAGAAGACGCGGGCTTGAAAGCCAGGACAGGAGGTAAGGCTTTGCCCCTCCTGCGAAAGCTCTGGGGCTGTAAGGAGACCGTGCAGCCTCTAAGGGGTCCTAGTTCCCAAAGCGTCCCTTTAGCTGCTTGCTCTGGCCACTCACACACACCACTGTCCCCTCCCCCAGCGCGGCTCCCTTCAGACTGTCACTGCCCACAGTGGGGCATTCATGCCCCAGCCCTAAATAGTCCCACTGTTCCGCCTAACGAGAAGCAACGCCGATGCCCATGTCTGCTCCGAGAGCGCCATATTTCATCAGACCGGAGCCCTGCCGGCTCAGATTACTGCCGGAGACAATGTTCTGTAATCGGGTTGATTCACATGTCACGGGTATTTTAGCAAAACAGAAATGAATGGCCTGAGCCACCCTAGGAAGGAACGGGAGAGCCGGGTCCCGCCCAGGGGAAGTCATGCTTGCGCCGGCCACAGTTCTCCAGGGAGCTGACTCTGGTTCCCGACGTTTTCCCGACTTTAAGAAAGAGAATATGGGCTGAGCAGGAGTCACAAAGTGGGTAGTTATTTCCCTATAAAACGGTAACTCCACGGATGGATATTGCCAGAGCAAAAATAAAATCTGTCATTGATTATAAAGTCCTTTGTGCTTGTTATTTCGCAGATTTATTACACGTGGGCCCAGAGGCCTGGGAGGCCCTGGGATTCTTGTCTCCAGCGCCCAGCAGACCCTCAGCCCGTGCCCCACACGGGAGCAGGGACTCCCGGCATTTCTTTTGTCCTAAGCGCCATGCGCTTGGGAAAACGAGCTGAAGAGCTATGTGAACCCTCCGCCTAACTGACAGGGACCCCCAGATCGGGACAATAGAGGCTCATTGCTAGAGGTCTGCGACTCCCTAATCAGGGAAGCGTTCCTTCCCTTTTCCTTTTGTTTTGCTTCTCAGCTCTTGGCACTGAGCGCTGAGACACGCCTTTCGTCTGCAGAGCGAGGAATGGCCAGGCTGAACCTCTCACCGAATCTCCTAGAATCTGGGCTCACTTTCAATAGGCTCACATGGCTTTCGGGCGCACGAGCAATAAAAAGGAGCAGGGACACGGACCAGTGCTGTTCCGTTCCATCTCATGTTAAAACCTAATCAATGGACCTCGTAACACAGTGCTCTGGTCCCCACTTCAGAGTTGAAGAAACTGAGGTCCAGAGAAGGCAGGGAACTTGCTTGAGGTCGTAGGCTAGGTTTGCAGACGAAAATCGGGACACAGACCTCGTCCCGACGGACTCCAAAGATCACGCAGACCCTGGCAGTTCGAGAGTGCGCTGGTCTGAGGCCACAGACCTAGCCCAGAGCACAGGGGCTGAAACAGAGCCTGGGGTCAGCCTTTGCACGTAAACAGAGGCTACTGGGCTCCAAAGAGGCCATGGGGCTGACCCAGGGGGACAGAGCTCATCAGAGCCCCAAACTGACTCTCTCACAAATTAGCTGGACAAGCGCATGAGACAATTGTTCGGGAACATTTCGGGAGAGGTTCTGGATGAAAACAAACGTGTGCTTCTGAGTTTGCCTTCTCCTTTACCCAGGCGTCCAGCCTCAGAACTATTGGGCCTCCCACTCCTTCCTCTGGGTTTTCTGGGCTGAAGAAACCCCTGCCATCCCAGAGTGTGTGGCAGAGAGGCCCAGAAAACTGAGGGCCCCTCAAAGCCCCTCACCTCCCTGGAGAGAGCACCCCACCGCAATTGGCAAATTCAAGACCTCAGCACCCCTGGTAAGACTGGTTTCTGATACTCCCTGGACTAAGATGATTGTCGTAGGAAACTGTCAGAAATCACAGCTCTCAGGACCTGAATCCACAGTCTGCCATCTCAACTCTTATTTTGAGCTGCAGCCCGAGCTATGAAAAACAAAACATTCTCATTGGCAAGCTCTACAATTAGCCTCATTTCCACGAGCTGTTCTGCATGAGCTGAAATTGCACAGCGGTTGTTTCTAGCTCAGCCATGCTGCTCACAGGCCGTGCTGGGAGCCAGCAAGGATGTGACCCGGTGGTAATCTGAATTGCTTCACCAAACACATTTTTATCCCATCATCTCGGCTACATGAAAGGGGCCATAGTGCTCCAGTGTTCAAGCCTTTACAGTCCTGCTGTTCAGCAATAAAATGAGGCAAGAAATATTAGCCGTCCCCGGCTGATGCCTTAATTCTTTCCCAACAATGTCAGAGAATCTGTACCCAACAGGTTTTAGTGCTGGCTAAAGCCTGACCCTCTGGCTGGCTTGAATGGAGCGAGAATGAGTTAAGGAGAGCAAGAAGGCTTTAATGGACACAGAGAGAGAATAGCCCAGCTTGTCCCAACCTCCTGCAGACTCCTGCTCCTTTTCACAGGCCTCGATTGTGTACGGCCCCAGCAGAGACAAAACTACCCATGAGCAGAGGTTACCCCCAGCTGGTACAGGTCAGAGGAATTCTGGGGGAGTGGGGAGGGGGGCAAAGGGGAAGTGAGGGGCACTTGGAGAAGAAGGGATGTGGGGTTGGGGTGGGGGAGGGAGCAGTAAAAGATGGTGTGAATCATCTGTAAGGAGAGAGTCACCAGGTCCAAGACTGGGACTTGGTCACCTCCAGCCCTCTCTGAGAACTGTTTCGGAGAACAAATGGGAGCTGTAGGGAAGGGACGCTGAATGTGGTGTGCTTCGTGATCAAAATAAAGAAAACGTTCCTCTAGAGTTTTCCAGAAACTCCAGGCCTAAGGTTCAGAGGCTGTCAATAGGATGACCTCCAGTTGGACACTGCGAGGTTTTTAAAAATGACAAATGGCTTGTGCTTGACACGCCCACAGAAGCTTTCTGCAGCAATTTTTCAGTTATTGCCTCGCGCGCTCTCCAAGAAAGTAGCCATGTTGGCTCAGGGGACCCAGAGTTAGCGAGGGAAGGGGACAGCGTGTTCACAGGGCTGCACACAGTCCTCTGAAGTGCAGAGAGCAGCATCCCGGATCCAGGGGAAGAGCATGCTTTAAAGGGGCCTCCCCCCCCAGGACTCGGACCCTTCCGTGCAGCCCCCCCCCCCCAGGACTCGGACCCTTCGTGCAGGCCCGGGACTCCTTCCTCAAGGTGAGGACGGGGTAGAGCTTCCTCAGAAGGTTCCATTCAATAACTAGCAGAGGGCACAAGTACTTCAATTTTAAAATAGTGACAAGCCAAAAAGGTATTTTGAGAAATCTGAAACAATCCTCATAGGATATGAAAATATCTGTGCATGGTGGGCACAGGTATGGTCAATCCCACTGTGGTTGGCTGCCTGCCAATATTGGTTTCAGCTACAGGTTAATGAAAATAGAAAAACGAGGAAGGGGGAAGAAAAGAAAGATGTAATTTCCCCCACTCAAATTCCCAGAGTCCCTGAGATCCTATCCACTGATGAGAATCCCCCTGAAGGCAAGACGGATGGAGCCAGGGCCTCCCGCGCAGGGCTGAGCCCCGGCAGGGATTCGACACCCTCACTCCATCCTGAAACCTTGGGAGCCACTGCTTCGCTCCTCTGCTGGGGCTTTGGAAACCGTCTGTAACGCCGGTTGAGACCATGTCCTTTTCCAGGGCAATCGGATGACTGCATGTCCAAAGTCCAAAGATCAGCAAGGACCTTTGATGTGTTCCTTCGACAACTGGGATCATTGTCTCCAAATCCAGGGACAGTTAACAGACTAACTGAACTTTAATCACCATCTTGTTCCAGTTGCCCTGGCTGGTTGAGCTTTGGGGGTAGGGTTTTATTCCTCCCAGAGGCTGCCCTGGGACGGTCAGTCCCCGTCCCCCTCAGCTTGCCTTTGGGACACACAGTGGCTCAGAGGCAACTGGGCTTCACACACATCACCTCTCTGGTCCTCACGGGGGAGCTGTCACAGAGCCATCGCATGCCATTGCAGGGGCAACCCGGCAGGCGGGCCCCCTCGAAAGCCCCCTGCCCCAGCCCCGACCAAGCTTTGGCGCCAACACCCAGGAGCCGCCAGGGTCGCGATTCTCCGGTTCCGGGCGGGGCGCGGGGAGCGCGCTGGCCCACGCCCACGCCCACGCCCCCCACACTCCCGGCCCACACTGGAGCGCACACCCTGCGCGCGCGCGCACCGCCACAGAAGGGCGCACGCACCCGCCGCGGGTCAGGCACTGCCGTGTGGCGGCGGCCCCAGTAGCCCGGACGCGCCGCCGGGTCCCCCCAGGGCGCTGCTGGCCGCCCCGCCCCGCCCCGCTCCTCCCCTCGAGCCCGCCGAGCCCGCCGCTCCGTGTGCTGCAAAGTTCCGCGGCGCGAGTCCGTGGAGGCAGCGCCGGCTCGGGCTGGGCTCCGCTCCGCGCTCCCGGGACGGCCGTGCCCGCTGGCCTGGAGCTGGGGCGGCGGACGGACTGCGCGCTAGGTTGCCCGCCCAGCTCGGCCCCGCACCCCACGACCGGCTGCCCTGTGCCCTCCACCCGCAGTCAGCCCGCAGCCTCCGGTGCACCCGCGCTCTCCCTCCCTGCCGGCTCCGGCCCTTCGCCGCCGCCACCCAGCATGGCCCGTGGCCCCGCTCAGACCAGCCCGGGACCTGGGTCCCAACTGCTGCCGCTGCTGCCTTTGCTTCTGCTGCTGCTCCGGGACGCGGGCGGCAGCCACACGGCCCCCGCGGGGTCCACCCTGCCCGGGGCCGCCGACGGCCTGGCCGGGGACAAGGACCCCCTGGGGGACACGGCCGCCGCTCTGGGCCCTGGAGCCCAGGACATGGTCGCTGTCCACATGCTCAGGCTTTATGAGAAATACAGCCGAAGGGGCGCGCGGCCTGGAGGGGGCAACACGGTCCGCAGCTTCAGGCCCCGGTTGGGTAAGTAGAGGGGGTCCCTGGGCCCCTTCTTCTCATGCTTCCCTTTCCTAACTTATTCGTCCTCCTACCCCTGTGTCTCCGCTTTTCCTCTTCCTCGTTTTCATTGTTTCATTCATTCTTTCATTCGCTGTTCACCAAGTGCTTCATGCCAGTCCCGAGCTCCAGCGGGGTCACTGAAGTAGCACCGAGTGACAGTTCCTGCCGGGGGTGCCGCAAACCTGGAAGGGTGTCCCACTTGCCGGACAAAGACCAGCCCATACACAAGGCTTTAAGCACAGGATGGAGACGGACTAGTTTGGGGAAGCTCGTGGCTGGGGGACCATGTCACAGGGATCAGCTGCGTTGGCTCTTGACAGATGAGGAGGGCACTGAGCAGGGCAGCCCTGCTAGGAGCCCCGGCAACTGGCCCCGACAGAGGGTGTGACCTGTGGCAGGGGAAGCAGGGGCCTGAGAAGGGCCTTTGGTGCCTCGCCTCGGGGGAACAGGATTGAGGCCCGCGGGGCACTGGCCTGGCATGTTCGAACTGTGGGGGTTTGAGGAAGGGTCCAAAAGCTGGGGCAGGGGCACCCCACCACCTGGGCAGATCCTTTCTCTTCTCCCCACACCCTGAATGGGTCTGCACAGACACACTTGCATAGCCCCCCTGTCCTGCTCAGAGCACCACCAGACGACAGCCTCAGCTGTCTGTCCACCTGGCTGGCCTGCCTCTTCAGGCCCCGGGGTGCAGCCTGGTGCCAGGGGTGGTGGGCGACCCTGGTTGTCATGGAGACTGCTCACGTCACAGAGTTCCATTCCAGAAAATGTGTGTAGGGTGCTCTGCAGCCCTTGTCGGGGAAGAGTCCATTCGTCAGAAGAAAAACGTCCAGGAACAAGCTCAACTTTGGGACCAGACATCCTGGGGTCAGATCTGCCATCTGTGGATCACTGGCTGTGTGACTCAAGCAGCACTGTGGCCTCGGAGCCAGGCATGGGAAGCACGGCCACACATAACCGTGCAGTGGGCAGGGCCTGCCTCGGAGAGGCCCACTCCCCGCCCTGCGCGGAGCGGACTCAGGTGGGCTCCGGGCCAGCCAGCTCTAACTCTGCGCTCGCTGTACCTGTTAGTTGCCACCTGGGGTCTGTTTCTGCAGTATCATTGTTAAAGCAAAGCCACTCAGACGTCATCTAGCGAGGATGTGACCTCGGGGAAGCATTCAGGTTCTGTGGACTTGAGTGTATCCGTCGACAGACAGGAAGTTCGTGCAGTATCTTCCCTGTGGGGTTGCAGAGAAGGTGAGATGAGGTGATGTGTGTCGCCCCAGCCCAGCCCTGGCCAGAGTGGGTGCTGGTGCCTGCTGGTCCTCTGGGGGCACAAAGCCCGTGAGCATAAAGGTGTAGGCTCGACCTTGCACCTGCTGAGTCCGCCCTCACAGCCCTGCGGTGGAGGAGAGCACGGCTGGCGAGGGCATCGCTGAAATGGGAGGCGCACCCCGGCGAGCCCACGAACGTGCACACGGGATGGACGTGCACAGTTTAACCGTTTTCACAGGACCAGGGTAGTACCAATAACAGTGAGTGAAGCAAGCACAGCATGTTAGCCCCGAGAAGACTTGGGCCCGCCCTGCAGATCCAGCCCTCCCATTTTACAGAGGAGAAAACCGAGGCAGGGACCGGGCAGTTCACTGTGGCAATGATCGGCAGCTCCCATCGGTTAGGCCAATGCTGTTTGCGCTGCTGTCTCCCTCCCCCAGCTCCATCGGAACTAAGGCAGGGCTTGAGAGACTGAGGGTAGAACAGAGTCTGGGAGATTACCCTGGACCAGCCCAGGGCTGGGCGTCTGGCATCTGGTGTGGAACATTCACAGCCACTCCTGGCTGTGCGCTGGGATGCGTGTCCCTCCACCTCTCTGAGCAGCGGTTCCTTGTGTGCACAGCAGGGATCTGGGGATCTGGTGGGGTGTGGAGGATGGGGGCCAGGCACAGAGCAGGCCCCCGGCAGCCTTGTTTCTGGTCCCCACCTTGATTCACTTCAGTTGTTCGTACCCAGCCGCCCTCCAGCCCTCTTAGGTCCCTGCTTCCAGACCCAGCCGTGTGGAGGCATGAGCCTGGGCAGGGATCCCTCATCTTATGAATGAGGCAAAAACGTGGGGGCTTCAGCTCCGGGACCAGCCTGCTGTGACCGGGTGGCCTCCGCTGCCTCGGGTGGTGCCTCCCGCTGAACCGCAGGGACCTCCGGGCACCAGTCCGGCCGCCCTCGGAGCTGCGTGGCTCACGGGCTGCGGGCAGCAGAGCTCAGGCACCCAGTGCAGGCTGGGAGCTGGTCTCATGGGGTCCAGGAATGACCAGGGACTGAGCTTGCAATGACTCAACTCTTTTTGTTCTGCAATTGGGCCAATCATTCTCCCTTTTAGAAGGTTTTCTAAATTATCCAAAATATGTCAAGTGTCAAACAATGCCTGAGACGTGTAAGTGCCAATCATTTAATTTAGCTCCTACTATCATCCCTGCAGCCCCCTGCCCTCCGTGCCATCCCGCCTGAGTATGCTTGTTCCCCCTTGGGTCTGCACCAGTGGAGAGACCTCTGGGCCTGACCCTGAGGGTCCACAGCAGGCACTGTGCCCCCAGCCACCTGTTTAAATCCAGTGCTCCACCCACTTATGCAGTGTCTTGCAGCTTGATTCACCTCCAAAAGGAGGCACTCACACAGACCTGTCTGTCAGCACTGCCGAAAGCCACATTCCTGCCGGTTCTCCCATCTCTCCTGAGCGCCCAGGTGGTGCTGTGCACTCGCTCCCTGGGGCGCAGCCGGTGAGCCCGCCCAGAACAGCCCAGGAGCTGCCCGAAGGTGGGAGTGAACAGAGGAAGGGGCTGTGGGGGTCTGATGGAGTGACCAAGCTGGGGTGTGGCTGGGGAGCGCGAGGGACAGTGAGGAAGGGGCACTGGAGAGGGACCAGTGAGCAGGTGAGACCCCAGACGGGGGAAGGGCAGGTGACGCCGAGCCAGCTGTACTGGAGCGGTGCACGTGTGTCTGCACCTGTGCGCACTTTGGGTCAGTGAGGAAATGCGGCGGGGCGACAGGCAGGAATCGAGGGGCCAGTGGGCGATGACTGACCATCAAGAGCCCAGGGTATCCCCGAGGCAATGGGGGGCTATACAGTGTCTGTGGAGTGAGGGTGGGGGGATGGAGAAGGGAAGAGGGAGGAAGGGGAGGAAAGGGAGAGAGGAGAGAGTTGGAAAGCGGGGGAGGGGGGAGAAAGATTATCAAAGAAGTGCTTACTTACTGGGGAAAGTCTAGAAATCATAGAAAATCACAGTAAAGAAGAGAACTCATCCCTAATCACACACTCAGACATAACCAGAGCTCATCTTTTGGTGGAGCACATAGGTTTTAGAATCATATTTTCAACATGCAAGTAAAAACGGTTACATCTGAATTTGAAGTTACCTTTTTTTTTCTTCATGACCAGTAACCCGGGTATTACTGGCTATTTGCACATGTTTTGTAGAAACTGCTCCTTGTGATTGGGATTCTTGTCTTTTTCTTACTGCTGTGTGGGGTTCCTCGTGGACTGAGGACATCCACCCTTCTCTGTAACGGATGATTTCCTTGTGAGGCGTGCGTGTGACCTGAGGGCGGGTGGTGCTCGGGTCCCGTGGCCGTGGAGGCCACGCCCTGGGAGAAGCCGTGCTGGAGGGCTGCAGACGTCAGGCCGGCTGTGGACAAGCAGGCTGCAAAGCCACGGGGAGCTGGGATCGGTTAGACGCAGGAGGGGAAGAGGCCTGGAGAACCCCCAGGCTCCTGGGCGGGGAGGGAACAGGTGCCCATGCCTGTCGGTGGGCACGGTGCCCTGGGAGCAGCAGTAGCTCCTGACGCCACAGGGCAGGGCGCTCGGAGCACGTGCCGGTGCCAGCGCCACGGAGATGACCTCATAGCCCCAGGCGGTGGGCACACACGTTCTGCCCAATTTACTGGGGAGGAGACTGAGGCTCGGAGCGGGTCCATGACTGCGGGAGGCCCCGGAGCTCATCAACGAGACAAGCAGGGTTTAAACCCTGACTCAGGGCCTGCCTGCTAGTCCTGTGTCTGCAGCACCCCTGACGGGCCAGCACTTCCTTCCTCAGCGTCTTCCGCAGGGTTCTCGCCCTGGTCGCCCCGATGGCTGTTTCGGGGCGATGGATGGCAGAGCGTGTCTGTGGGGTAGAGCCCCCTCGCCCACCGCGGTAGACAGACCTAGAACAGACCCAGTCTTCCCCACTGCTCAGTTTTCTGAGCACTGATTGTCACTGGGCCTTGTGCGGGCATCGAGGACACAGCAGTGTCCGGGGCTGGCAAAGCCCCTACTGTCTTGGAGCCTGTGTTCTTGGGGAGAGAGGAACCCCAACACAGAAACCGATATCAGGACACTGGGAAGCGACCTGGAGACACAGGCAGCAGGGTGTCATGGAGACGCATAGCAGCGGGGGAGGGGCTGTGTCATCAGTGAACTTTCACCCCACCCACAGGTCACTCCAATGCTGCAGGTCACAGCCACCACCCAGCGGTGCTGCCCAAACTCCTCGGAGGTTGGAACGCCTGGGGTGCTGGTGAAAACACCGGTCCCTGGGCCCCGCTGTTCCAGGCTGTCAGTCACATCCAGGGCGGGAAGGCAGTGGCCGGGCTCCGGGAAACGCAGGCTCTGGACACTCAAGGCGGCGGTGTTTGGGGAGCCAAGTTCAAAGGCGCATTCAGACCGGGCTCCTTGTGTGGGGAGCAGGCCACACCTTGCTGGGGGCGTGGGGCCGGCACAACTCTGCGAGCTTGTACCGAGGAGTAGACAAGGCAGGATCTTCACTGGCGTGTCCCCTACGCGGTGACTGGCATTTTCCGTAGATGTGTTTTTTCCTTCCTTCCTGTCTCTTGATAGTCCCTTCTGAGTAGGTGCAAATTCCCAGTTGAATGATGTCTCCTTCCCAACATAATCAGTTAACCTTCAAATGAAGAATTTCGTTAAAAAACATCCCAGCTGACCCAGGGGTGCAGGTGTCAGGGAGCCTGTGGCCCCCGCGCAGCCCTGTGGAGCCGAGTCCCGGCGCACAAGCACAGTCCCACGCTCCGGCGCTCGCGTCCTCCCCCACTTTGCCCGCACACAGGGGAGCAGGACCTAGCCAGCAGGAGGGAGGCAGCCTGCCCAGCAGCTCCGGCCCCTGCTCCTCCGCAGCATCTCAAGTAGGCCTCAGGAGCCAGCCCCCCTTCCCACACACCCCTAGGGAGGCTTGGCCATTCAGAGGACTCGTGCTGCAGGCCAGGAAGCTTCCTGCGGCTGCAGACCAGGGGGCTTCGTCCTGGGGCGCTCGGGGTACACTTGGTAGAACCAGGAGAGAAGGAAGGAGGGTGGTGGGCAGCCCCAGGATGCAGGGCCAGAGCATGCTCCAGCTCAGATGTGCCGGTTAGGGCACCCCAGGCCCTGTCATGGTTTGGGCCTCTGGAGCACCCTGGACGTTGGAACTTTTGCTGAGGGACCTTGTGCAGCCCTGATTTCTCTCTTTGTAAAAGTGTTTCCTGTAGAACAAGCTGAGAAGCCACGGGACAGCCAGGCCAGAGCGTGTCGGCTGGTCGAGCGTTGTCCTGTGCATAGACAGGTTGCCGGTTGGATTCCAGGTCAGGGCACGTGTGTGGTTGTGGGTTCGATCCCAGTCGGAGCAGCAGACAGCGTTTCTCTCCCACATCTCTCTGTCTCTCCCTCTGTCTCGGCAGGTCCTCGGGGGAGGATTAGACATAAACAAGCCATTTGGGCAGAACCAGCAGCAGGTGCCCAGAGGGCTGTGTTTGTGGCCATTTTCCCCTGGAAGGCGCTCAGGGTGCAGGGGCATACGGCTTAGCTACTGTATCACCTCATTGGGAAGAACAGCTGCATCTAATGTCCATAAGAAGAGGGCTGAGAAAACACAGGAGGGGCTGCTGTCAGCAGTGCTTGCACCCCACTCCAACCACGCAGAACCCCGATCCCCCCTGTGTCATTAGAGAAGGTGGAGGAGATCATGTGGTCATTGAGAGGCAGGGGGGAGGGCTGGCAGGAGCTTCGGGCCCAGAGCCTGAGCACCTGCCCTGGCTGCTGCTGCCTCCTTGTTTGCAGTGGGATGTCCAGTCTCCAGCCTCTGTGACATTAGTGTCTCCTCCTTCCTTGAGCACGGCAGAGGGCGCCCTCGTCAGTTTGACGTGAGCATTGCAGCAGGGCAGCCGGCTGGGTGGCAGCGCCCCCTACAGGGGTGTTCCTCTTCCAGCCCAGCCCTGGGGGCCTAGGCAGGAGCGAACCTAACAGGCTGTGTGGTCTGTCCTTCCCTCGCAGAAGTGGTCAACCAGCGGGCCCTGTATCTCTTCAACCTGACCTCCATGCAGGACTCGGAAATGATCCTCACGGCCACCTTCCACTTCTACGCGGAGCCGCGGTGGCCCCGCGCTCACGAGCTGCCCTGCAAGCAGCGGGCCAGGAGCGCGTCCTGCCGCCTGCTGCCCCCGGGGCCGCCCGGCCGCCAGCACCTGCTGTTCCGCAGCCTGTCACAGAACACAGCCACGCAGGGGCTGCTCCGCGCCGTCGTGGCCCTGGCGCCGCCGCCCCGGGGCCTGTGGCAGGCCAAGGACATCTCCCCCATCGTCAAGGCCGCCCGCCGGGACGGAGAATTGCTTCTGTCTGCTGAGCTGGACTCTGGGGAGGAGGACCCCGGGGTGCCCAGGCCCGGCGCCCACGCGCCCTACATCCTCGTCTCTGCCGACGACCTGGCCATCTCGGAGCCCAACAGCGTGGCGGTGACGCTGCAGAGGTACGACCCCTTCCAGGCTGGAGACCCCGAGCCCGGCGCAGCCCCCAACAGCTCCGCAGATCCCCGCGTCCGGCGGGCCACCCCGGCCACGGGGCCCCTCCAGGACAACGAGCTGCCAGGGCTGGACGAGAAGCCAGTACGGGGCACCCACGCGCAGCACTACCACCGGCAGGAAGTGTGGCCCAGCCCCTTCCGGACCCTGAAGCCCCGGCCGGGGCGCAAGGACCGCCGGCGCAAGGGCCAGGACGTGTTCATGGCCTCGTCACAGGTGCTGCACTTCGATGAGAAGACGATGCAGAAAGCCCGGCGGAGGCAGTGGGACGAGCCGAGGGTCTGCTCCCGCCGGTACCTGAAGGTGGACTTTGCAGACATTGGGTGGAATGAGTGGATCATCTCGCCCAAGTCGTTCGACGCCTACTACTGCGCCGGCGCCTGCGAGTTCCCCATGCCCAAGGTAGGGTGTGCGTGGCTGTTGTCTGACCCGCTCCGCTCTACCCTGTAGCAAGTCCCTCTGCCCCGTGACCTCTGTGTCCTGTCTGCAGAACAGGGTAACAACACTTCCCATTCGTGGGAGGCTGGGAATAGGGGGGTAAAACCCACAGGCGGATAGAGTCGGGCTGTGCTTTGGAAACAATGACTTGGTTGAATTTACATTTCGCATCAGAACATTGGTGCTTTGCAAAGGGGAGACAGAACGTGTCTCCTTGAGTATGTCCTCCCGCAAAGCAAAGCAGCCGCCTGCGCTGCTTGAGCAGATGCTGCCCCCTGTAGACAGGTCTTCGCAGCGCCTCCTGACAAGACTCTTGCATTTGCTCTCACCTGGACCTCGGAGGGAGCACCGGTCTGTGACCAGCACAGAGCGGGTTTCAGGGGCTGCTCAGGGCAGGGCCCCGCAGGACACCAGTCCTCAGTGTGCGGGAGTCGGCAGTGGGCAGTGTGGACGCTGTGCTGGAGGCGTTGGCAGCCTCGCCTTCCTCCACCCTGTGGCTCTGTCCCTGGCCTCCCCGCCTGGGCTGCGGTGGGCTGGCGGCCAGCTGATGCCGGTCTCGGCACACAGCACACCGCCCCTCCCGCTCAGCTCCTCTGCTGAGTGTCAGGTGCTGCCTTCCCTTCCAACGCAGGAAGTCCGTGCACGGACCTAATCCGCACCTCCATAAATCAGCCGCAGGGAACCCAGGCCTGGACGCGGGGCGGCATTCCCCTACTTGGGACGAAGGGCTTCTCCTCAAAGCCCTGCACGAGAAAGGGCGGGAGGTGCCCTGCAGAGACAGCGTCTGCTGGCCGGGTCCGCTGGCTGACCTCGTACTTGCCTTGTCAGCCTGGCTGGCTGCCGTCCCACCTTCCCCGACACCTGCCTGAATCTCACAGATCACATGTCCCTGCCTCCCTCCCTGCCTGCTTTGCACACAGGGCCTCCCTCCAACACAGTGTCCAGGCAGCTCTGGTGGGCAGCAGCTGAGCCTGTTCGCCTGGGCACCTGTGCTAAGGGGCAGCTTCTCTGTGCTGCTTGACCCAGAGCCCCTGGTGCGGAGGCCGCCTGGGGGAGGGGAGGGCCGGCCTGGCCCCGGGCAGCAGGGTTCCCAGGCTCGGCTATGCTACTGGAGGAGTCTCGGTCAAGTGTCTCAGTCAAGTGTCTCAGTCATTTTAAGCCTCGGTTTCTTCACCATAAAATGTAGGTAACACCCACCCCTGACATGATCACAACATGGGGTGATGCCGGTGACACAGCCCCCAACACGGCAGTCAGACCAGCCCAGGAATGTCAGTCCCCCCATCAAGCTGACACAGCCCGTGTGCAGGCCCCCCTCCTGCACGCGAAGATGTGTGCTCCTCAGGCTGGAACCCGGGCGGCTGTGGCCCCAGGCCCACCTGCAGGCCCCCCTCTGAAAGCTCCGGGGTTCCAGGTGCCCCGAGCGGCAGTGCCATGTGGGCGAGGGGCGTCCCCTGCGAGGCCTGCGGGAAGACAGGAGGCTCTTGCAGACCTCCCGGGGTTCGCCTGCGGCTGACTTCGGAGGAGGGGGTGCCAGCCCTGGAGTCTCCTTTCCTTCTAGGCCGGAGCCTGTCCTGAGGGCTGTGTCCAGGACGGGCAGATGGCACAGTGGGTGGGCGAGGGCAGTGCGCTGAGCTAACCACGCCCCTTCCCACCTGGCAGGTCGTCCGCCCGTCCAATCACGCCACCATCCAGAGCATCGTCAGGGCCGTGGGCATCGTCCCGGGCATCCCGGAGCCCTGCTGCGTTCCAGACAAGATGAACTCCCTTGGGGTCCTCTTCCTGGATGAGAACCGGAATGTGGTTCTGAAAGTGTACCCCAACATGTCTGTGGAGACCTGTGCTTGCCGGTAAGACCAGCCACGCCAGGGTGGAAGAAGACCTCCCGCCACGCTCCACGGGCCGGCGTCCTCAGCCCCAGAGTGCGAGCCAGACGAGGGGTGCGGCTGCAATGGCAGGACAGAGCTCACAGGCAGCCTTGCTGGGCCAGGAGGATCTGTCCCCAGGGCGTCATTCTGGGCTTTTTATCGCTAGTGACTGAGCCCCTAACATGCCAGCCTCAGTGCCTGAAGGAACCTGCAGGTCAGCCTGGCCTGAAGGCTCCCCACGGCCCACCCCCCGTGCCCTGAAGGCCTGCAGATGGGATGTGTCCACACTGTCGTGTTGTGTGGTCATCATCTCAGAGCCTTCAAAGAAGACTGCACACCGGGGCCACGCGCCCCTTCCACGTGGACACGGCCTTGTTTAAACAATCACTTTAAGACACTTCGGGCCACACAGTGATGCTGGAAAACAGGGCCTAAATCATGGTAAAAACGGATGTTTTCTTTCAAACTTCACTGCAAAAGCTTTTATACACACGATATGCACATATAACCAATTGTGGTTTCTCTTTCTTAATATATATTTTATTTTAAAACAGAAAGAGGGGAGTCGTAACCGTTCCCCACAGAGGTGATCATGCTGGTTAAGTGTTCATCGTTTATACCTGCTTACGGAAATAACACACAGTCACATCTTGGAATACTAAAAATAAGCGAGATTTTTATATTTTTATAAATTATACTTTCTATACTGTAGATTGTGTACGTTATGTGTTTTTATGGAAAGCTAATAAATTAGAGGTACCTTGGTATCTTGAAAACCGAATGTCACCCACTCCAGCATGCTGATGGGTCCCACCTGGAAGCATGCCATCTGGGTGGCTGCTGGGGGCACGGCCTCCTTGAGGATCAGCGGGGGACCCCTGCCCCAGGCCGGCTCCTCACTCTCTTGTCTCTTCCCCAAACTCTGGAACCCAGCAGCCCCCAGGCCTTCCAGAGTCCTGCCCCCCTCCGGTCCAGGCAGGAAGGGCCCCTGCAGACCCGTCATGGGGCTTCCACATGGTCTCAGCCTCAGAAGGGGCACGGAGGGAGTGGGGGGTCTGAGGCATTAAGAGGAGCAGTGATAGGGACGGTCACGGTCCCTCCTGCCGTGCACGAAGTCCGGAGGGACGGGCATCGGCCCTCCCTGAGCCCGTTTGTGGAAGGCCCCGCGTTCCCTCACAGCCTCCCCGACGGCTCCCTAGTCCCTGAGTGGGCACCCGCAGACAGCTGCAGTGCCTGGTGCTGGCTGGCCGGCGTTTCAGGGGGAGAATCTGGGTGTCGGACAGCAAGGCCCAGGGTGCCAGGAAGGGACAGAGAAGGCAGGGGCTGTCCTGCACCAGGGCCTTGGAGGAAAGAAGCCCAAAGGCTCTGTCTTAGGTGGGGCTTCTGAGACCAGGGCTCCTTCCCCAGGGATGTCGGAGGAAGTACCCCAGGAGAAACGGGTACGGAATGAGCACGGCAGGACCGCAGGGCAGGACGCCGGAGCTGAATCACACCTCGGGGTGGATCCGGCCTTGACCAGGGAGCTTGTGTTCAGCCCCCTCCTCAGGCTGCCTCAAGAGGGGGTGGGCCGAGGGGAACAGAAACTCGCAGGTCTCCGAGCCTCTGCAGAGGCAGCTACTGGGTACAAGGCAACCGACAAGAGAGGGTTCCCAGAACAGGTAAGAAGGGGGTTCTGGGGGCACCCGGGCAGAGCCCAGCGGCATCTGCTCAGCAGCTCCTTGGAGACGCTCCGAATGGTCCTCATGTGCGTGAGCAGCTGCCCGGGCACCTGGCCCTGCCTCTCCGTGGGGTCTGGCGAAGCGAGGGCAGTGGCCCTTGTTCCTGAGCAGCTGAACTGGGACTAACCCTTCATTTCGAGTTGCAGTGAATCGCTGGGATCTCTCCAACGGGTCTGCTGACTGAGCGCTTGGCTTGCCGAGTCCAGTTCCTTTTGGAAGATGACAGGATAAAAGTTAATAGAAAAATAAGTACAAAACATTGGGGTTTGATAAGGCTCCAGAGGCCGGTCTTCCCAACATCCGAGTCCTTACTTTCTCTTCTGCCTTCAATGTTCTCTCATCAAATTGCTTTCTTTCAGTTACTTGATGGAAACGGGGTGTCCTGTCTTATTCTTTCTGCCATTTGCCGTTTCGGGGAGATCTTCTGAGTCACCCTGAAAGCCTAGATCTCCTCTGTGTCGTGTCTGGACTATGGGGGTGGGGGGAGCAGGCTGGAAGGGCCCCTGCGTGCCGCTCTGGGCGGGGAGGGCTGGGACGCAGGATTGATGCCTTTGGCGCGCGGCGGAGGGAGCTCGTGTGGTCAGTGACCCCTTACGCTTACGGAGCTCCTTGTAACTCCCTGCCCAGCTGGTGCCTCAGAGAAGGGCTCAGGACGGGTTAAGGAGCATGACCACCCTGTCTCTCCAGGACCAATGTCCACTCTGACACCCAGCGCTGCTGATTCGAGACCTCTGTGGCTGGTGCTGACCCCGCTGCCAGCCTATTGGGGTTGACCCAATGGCACTGGACGACCTCCCAGTAAAGCAACTTTTTTTCTTAAAACCAAAATGTCAACATCACATTGTCACAAGAGCCAGAGTTTGCAGCACACAGTGCAGAGGTGTGGGTCCCCAAGGCCATCAGCTGGGTCTGTGTCAGTGGAAGGGCAACGTGGTGGCCTCCGGGCCCTGCTCCTGGGTGACCCCCCTCCAAAAGGGCAGGGCCTTAGAGGTTAGCCCACGTGACAAATATAAACAGTGCGACCGAGCCAAAAGATGTAAGGCTGGGCGGGAACTCCGGAAGACTGACACAAACATTTTACTGAAAAGGTAGGCACCTTGCCTGAGGTGTCCCAGTAGGTGCCTCTGTATGTCTAGTTCACTCACAAGATGTCATCGGAGCTGTGGCCCATCACGGATGCGTCCTCCCTGCCAGGGTGGAGACAGGGCTGTGCTGGAGGCGCCCTCAGAAGTCCGGGGCAGGTGTGAGGGTGCGAGGTGGGGCCTCCACGGGAGGAGGGGTGGAGATCGCCCCCCCAGGATGCGGGAGCTGGACTGGTCTGGTGGCATAGAGGCATTGCAGGTGCCGCTTGAGAAAATGCGTCTCATGGCCCCTGCCAAGGAGGGCTGCAGGCGGTCTTGGTGGACGACCAGCTCTGAATGTCAGCTGTGCACCACGGCATCGAAGTCAGCGTTCGAGGCTGTGTCCTCTTACTGCAGCTGGAACGTAAAATCCTTCCCTGATAGACGGACACTCTGAGAGTTCCATCCCCTTCTCTCTCCTCCCTGCCACGAGGCTGCTATTCAAGCTTTGGTCCACTCTTCTTTCTCACTCGGGTCTAATTCGATCCCAAGTTCCTCCGGCCTCTCCCAGCCTGGTTGCCTGAGCGGTGGGTGCGCAGAGGAACGGACTCGGCTATTACTCAATTCTTTAGCACCTACTAAGTGCAAAACACCACGCCAGGCGATGGGAACATACTGCTTCCTGGCAGGCTTGCACGACCTTCCCCTTATCAGAGCCCATGTGCAACCTTGAACGTGCATCAGAATCACCCGGAGGACTTGACCGGGTTCCCAGAGTGTCCGACTCAGGCCAGGACTTGCATTTCTAACCATTTCTACACGCTGCTGCTGGTGGCGGGCCGGGGACCCACTTTAAGAACCACGTTTCTAATAGCTGTGCTAAGCACGTGGGCACAGTCCCCAGACAGGGAGCCCACACCGGCTGAGAACGGACCTGTGCCAGGTGGACAGAGGGTCTTGGGAGGTCAGGCTCGGGTGGAGGAAGCGACCCACCCTGCTCTGCCTGGCTCATGCTTTCTCCTCACAGCTTCTTGGAAGGTCCAGTTTTCATTCCTGAGTGACGGGTGGGTGAGCGCGGAGCTTGAGGAGCTCACGGAGGGACCGGTGGTGTCCTCGTACTCACGCTCGGCCCCGGTGGCAGTTGATTACAGAAATCCAAGGCGATGTGTCCCTCTTCATTCATGGAGGTCGAGCTCCGTGTGTGGGCTGCAGGGATGGGCTTCAGCAGCCTTCAGAACACATGAGTGAGCAGTCTGTGTCTCTTACTAAATTACAAACCCCCAGCAACCGCACGTGAGGACCCCACTTTGTAATGCACAAGTCCCGGGAGAGAGGGCGTTAGCGAGATTTTGGTTAAAATGACCACAGCACAGTGATGTCTAACTGCCTGGGCATCGAGTATAGACGGGACAAGGCGGAGATGGCAGCCACCGCACTCAGCCGGACCACAGAGCACACAGCACACAGAGCACCCGGCCGTGTTCAAGGACACACGCAGAGGAGAGCATGGAGGCCTGCCCGGAGGGGGCCTCAGCTCTCCTGTGAATGCAGGCCTGTCTCCACGGGCAAACCAAATCCCAAGGAGGTTGTGCCAACTCAAGCCAACAGCAGACAGCTGTCCTGGGGCCCTTGGTAGGGGTTGTCAGGCAAACCCCAGTGTCCTTGCGCGAGGCACACAGGCTACGTGGTGGACAGGAGTTCTGACCGGGAACCAAAGGGCAGGCAGGATTGGCCAGGTGGAGGACAGTGGGGAGGAGAGCATGAGGCACCCCACTGAGGCACAGCCGGATCAAGGCCCTGCAGAAGGAGGGACAGGCAGTGCTGCCTCGGGGGGTGACCGAAGCATCCGACCTCACGCTGGCCAGAGTGATAAAGAATGCTTCCCACGCGCCAGGCTCTGTGCCAGGGCGGAAGTGCTCCCCAGGAACGCCGGGCATCTGTGGGTGTCTGGTGCGGTCCCTGCACACGAGCCCAGTCCTGGCCAGCCAGCGAGAGCTTGCTACTGCTCTCCCTTCTGGAAGGTTGAAGTGCAGACGCTGCGATGCGGCTCATCACATCGGGGAAGATTCGCCCGCTCAGCTGGCCATGCCCAGGAACATATTTCTATCAGGTGACTAAAGACTAGGAAGGATGCTGGTGAGCAGCGGCAAGACGGGCGTTCTCGGGCTGCGCTGAGGAGTAAAGAGGGAGAGGGTGTTTCTGGAGACTAGCCCTGCAGTTTTACCAAGAGTTTGGCAACATCTACATACACTTTACGTAGCTATTCCACTTCTGGTGAACTGCTTTAACACAACACTATAAAATATGGATTGCAGTAATAATTGCCATGCGACATTAGATAATCTGATTGCCCGATAGTTGGCGAATGTTGAATACATTAGACTCTATTCATATGGTTGGGTATTGTTAAGTCCTTAAAAGTAAAGTGTATGACACATTTTTCATGGCATGGGGAGATGCTTATGTAACCCTTTGGCGGTGTGTCCTTCTGCTGACCAGACCTAGACCCCTCTGAGGAATCACCCCTTTGCGACTGATTCCTTGCCGTGGGCGACATCCTCCACCTAAGCCCATCAGGGCACTGCATTCCCCCGGCCACCGTGATTGGCTGGAGTGTGGGCAGACGACCCAGTGCAAAACAAGGCGACACCAGGAGGCTGACCGCGGCCACAGGGCGAAGGCAGTCCCGAGAGAGGAGAAAGGGTCAGCACCGCGTCCCGCACCCTGGAGCAGGCTGTGCGCAAGGCGCACCTTGGCCGAGCGTGCCCGCGGCGTCAGTTAGCCACGCCCATCGGCCTGCAGCCCCTTAGGGCTCTTTTCTGCAGCCTGCAAAGGAGCTCCGCGTGGTACACTTTATGTTTTTAATCATGGCAAAATACATGTAAAATCCACCACAGTGTGCAGTTCGGTGCCAGTTAGTACATTCACACTGCTGTGTGCTCATCGCCACCAACCATCTCCAGGAGTCTTCTTCACCTCGCAAAATGAGAAGGCTGCACCCATTCATCCACAACTCCCCGCCCACCTCCCCGAGGCCGCTGGCCACCACTGTCCCATGCATTGGACTGTTCCGGCCACCCCATATACGTGGAATCAGACAATATGTGTCCTTTCGTGACCGGCTTATTTCACTTAGCATGTCTTTGCGGTCCATCCATGTCATGGCATGTGTCAGAATTCTGTTTCTTACTGCTGAAGTGTATTCCGTTATGTACACAGACCAGTTTGTTTATGCATTCATCCCTCAGTGGACCCGAGGGGTGTTCCTACCCTCTGGCCATCGTGAATGCTGCTGCTGTGACTGTGGTCATGCAGCTGTCTCTTCAAGACCCTGCTTTTCATTATTGGGGGTGTGTGCATAGAAATGAAGTTGCTGAGTCATATGGCACAGTTTGGGGGAGAAGAGAGGCAGATAAGATAGTTTGTGGCTCCATTAAGGCAGCTCCTCCATGAGGCCCAGCAGTGGGCAGGAGAGGGCTTGGTCCTTTGTATATGGACCCCCACATTCTGGGAAACACAGAACAAGACCTGAACCTTGTTCCCTAAGAGCCAGAGTTAAGGGGTTCTGTCTGGATGGACCAAAGGCCATCTGTGCAGAAAGATATATCGCAACGTCTGTGAAGTCGCACCACCTTGAAGAAAATGGGAATCTGGAGTGGTGACCCAGACTCCCCACAAGAACCTAGAGTTTTGTGGGAAATGCAGAGTGGAGCAGGGTATGACCACAGCTGGGCTCTTCTCTGGACCCAGCCACCTGCCACAAGGGCGTACCTACTGGAGAAGGGGAGTGTGCCCAAGAAGGCTGTGACCTCGGTGCACAAAGGGGGACCTCAGAGAGACCTGGCTGCAACCTGGACCACCCAGGGATCCCCAGCAGCTGTGTACAAACAGCTGCTCCATGTGTCTGACCCATCCCCAACAGCAAAGCCAGGCGTCACTAAGAGGCACCAGCAGAGGGGACCTGCCGGAGCCCCTCCCCCGGCCCCTTCCAGCACCGAGAAGCTGGGCTGACCCCATCTCACCTGCGTCTCCTTTGAACTAAGCAACCCCACCGTGCCCTTGGGCAACTCAGGGAGGTGATGCCCCGAGAGGGGAAGCCTAGGCTCCCCGATAGTAGCTGCAGAACAGCTTATCCTTAAAAACAGTATGAGGACGTGGACACGGATCCCATCCCAGCGACGTACAGGCAGGTTGTACTGCCCGGTGCCGGGCAGCATCTCCGCAGTCCGTGTGACCAGTGACTTCGAGCCTCGTTCGTGTGGACCCTCCACGCGCACACGCGTCCACCACCCTGTATCCGAGACCCCCACACCCAAACTCAGAAGACCTGAAGTTTCTTCTAACCCCTTTCATGGCACAGCCTGACCTGGATGCACAGGTCTGCTTCTGTCTGTGCTCATGCGGGAGTGTCGATGTGCTTCATCACAGGCTGCTGTCCCCACTCCCACAGGACCCATGTCACACCAGACCCCCAAATCTGAATGCACAGGTCTGCTTCTGTCCATGCTCACTGCGGGAGTGTCGATGTGCTTCATCACCGGCTGCTGTCCCCACTCCCACTGGAGATACCCCAGGACCCATGTCACACCAGACCCCAAACCTGAATGCACAGGTCTGCTTTTGTCCGTGCTCATGCGGGAGTGTCGATGTGCTTCATCACCGGCTGCTGTCCCCACTCCCACTGGAGATACCCCAGGACCCATGTCACACCAGACCCCAAACCTGAATGCACAGGTCTGCTTTTGTCCGTGCTCATGCGGGAGTGTCGATGTGCTTCATCACAGTCTGCTGTCCCCACTCCCGCTGGAGATGCCACAGGACCCATGTCACACCAGACCCCCAAATCTGAAGCGTTCCGACTCAGAAAACGCTCCTGGCCCTAAGGGAACTGGATGCATCTCAAAATGTTCGCGGGGGGCATCACCGAACGACGACATTATAGTCTGTTTCTTTCTCCATGGTGTCTTGCATTTCCCACATTATCTGCCCTGTGTCTTACTGTTATAATCAAAAAAGAAAATCTGTCATGTTTTCAAAAACACATTAGGCAACAGCCCCTCGAGCTTCCCTGAGCACTTCGGGCCCCCCCCCCCATGCAGCCCTTGTCTCCTCCAGCGCGACAGACGTCTGGGTCGCCACAGGGACCGGGACGGACGCACGGTGTGGGGGTCCTGCCTCCAGCTCCCCCAGCCACCCACCTCCTGGCTTCCCACCCCTTCGTCAGTGCAGAAACTCTTGCCTTGAGCTGACTCCATGCCCAGGGTGTGTCCTGCCCCTTTTCCAAGCAGCATCTCCGAGGCGACACCTTCTCATCTGTCCCCTCCTGGCAGTGTCCCCAAAGGGCAGGAGCAGTGAGTTCTGCCCAGGCCCGGCCACTTGAGGCTCCTGGTTTCACCCTCCCCGCCAGGGCTGGGTGACCAGCTGGGGTCGCACTGCGATCTTTGACCTCAACCTGCCGCAGCCCCTCCTGCCTTTCTGGGTACCTGCCCAGCTCACTGATACCCTCCCCAGGAGCACCAACCACAGGGGAAAACCTCATGTGCAAATGCTCCTCAGAGTAGACCCCCGGAGGACTTTAGCCTCATGCTTTGCCTCGCTCGAACCCGCACATGGGAATGGAAGACCTAAGTGGGGCGTGGTGCTCTGGACAGCGCGGACCCTGGGGCCTGGCAGCACGCTGCTGGGCTGTGGCTCCTTAGCGCCCTCAGGCCGGGCACACCTCTGGGCACGTGCCAGCTCAGGGCTCTGCTCCCCGGCCTGTCTCCCAGCTGCATGGGTCCTGACGGGAATGTGGCCCAGGCAGCCACCCCTCTGACAGGAGCAAAGACCACCCCATGCAAGGCCAGTGACAGAGCTCCTCTGGGGTCCCTGGTGGTCGGCAGTGTGTGTGCGGTGTCCCTAGAGAGCAGGCTGAGGGCACAGGGCTTCCTCCTCGGGTCCAGCCCGGGCACCCTGGGCGGAGAAGTGATAGGCAGAAAGCAGCCCCGCAGCCCACCAGGGCTGGCAGAGACCGTGGACATTCACACCCTACAGCCCTCCACACCGGACGCTGAAACCGAGGTGACTTGCTCGGGGCCCTGCTGTGGGAATCGGTGTGGGAGCTGGGGTCTGCACCCTGGTCTCTTCGGCTCAGGGTTCTGGCCCCACTGAGGTACGTGCCGCACATCCACAAGTGCTCCCCAGTGCTCGGAACTGGCAGCGCAGTGGAGGACCCCAAGCGTGGACGGCCTGAGCCACACTGCCGGCTCTAACTCCACAGGGAGCAGGCCTCTCACCAGCCCGGCCTGCGCCCCACCACCCACGCAGCCCACAGTGTGCGGGGACTTCTGGGCTCGTGCTGCTTCTATCTTTGGAGGACGTTTTGGTATTTTTGTTTCCCGGATTCTTACTGTGGTGCAGGAGACAGGACATATGTCACCCTGTGTTGAGATTCCTTTGAACAGAACTGGCAAGGAAATGAGAAGAGAGCCTAATTAGGGCCGATAACCCCACGGAGAAATCCGGGTCCCTTGCGGACCACGTTCTTCCCACAAGCGCCGTTTGTCAGATGTTTACAGAGCCTTCATTAGCTTAGCACTCCCCTCGATAAGAGGTCGCAGCAGGCATCGGGGCCAGATAAGAGCGGCAGAGGACACTCCGGGACGGCGGGCGAGGGCCTGGGAACCGCCAGCGCGCTGGGCGCAGGACGATGCGCGCCCGGGCCTCCGGGTCGCCTCCCCACACACGCTAGCACAGGGTGGCCGCCGGCAGTCTCCTGCACGGGGACCCTGCTGCCCAAGATGTGCGGCGGGGCGCTGTGGCTGGCCCTGCGGGTGCTCTGCCTGCTGGCCTGCTCTGCGCTCGGGAAGCCTCTGGCGGGCCGGGGCCGCGCCTTGGCCAGGGGGGATGCCCACCGCCTGCTGGCGGCGGGCGCAGGCGAGCAGGAGGGAGGCGTCTTCGACCTGCGGATGTTCCTGGAGAACATGAAGGTGGATTTCCTGCGCAGCCTCAACCTGAGCGGGGTCCCTGCCCAGGACAAAACGCAAGCGGAGCCCCCGCAGTACATGCTCGACCTGTACAACAGGTACACCGCCGACAAGTCGTCCACCCCCGCGTCCAACATCGTGCGCAGCTTCAGCGCGGAAGGTACAGTCGCCCCGCCCGCTGGGCGCCGGAGGGTGGGAGCTGGGGGATCCCGCGGCCCAGCGTGCACTGCCCGGGATGGGGGCCACCGGCCCCAGGAGGCTCTTTGAGTTCCACTTTAAATGACTTAAAATGAAATAAAATGAGTAATTTAGTTTTTCCGTTGCACCAGCTTTGATTCCAGGGCCCACAGTTGTGCGTGGCTGGTGGCCAGCCTACTGGACAGTGCAGGTGACAGAGCCTGTCCGCGGCTGGAAACTTCCACTGAACAGCTCTTTGCTCTGGAAGATTCTCCCTCCTGGGCTAGGGCGGCGTTCAGCTCAGTGGGAGCTGCGGGAAGGCCAGCTCCCCTGCCCCCCCCCCCCTTTTCCTTAGGAACAGAGGACTCATTTAGCTCTAACCACTAGCATGTTCTTAAACTTTGAGAAAACGTCTGCCTTCTGAAAAGGTGTCAAAAATTCAGATACATTCCTCTGAGAGATTGGCGGGCTACTTAATTATTTTCCAAGTGTAGAATGCTCTCCCTGATTCGGGAGGACTAGATGATGCATGTCAGCCTGGGGCTTCTGCTCACTAGTTCACACAATGTGCATGATTCCAGGAGCAGGGAGGCAGGATTTGCAGAGCTGAGCAAACTCGCCCAGGAACCCACGGGTTAGCAGCTGGATGCTGAGCCAGGCCCCCGGCTGGGTAGCTCAGGAGCTCCCTGCAGCTGCCGTCTGCGGCCTCCCTCTGAGCAGCCAGCGGCACAGGGCCTCTCTGCTCCTGGGCTGGAGCCCCGCGAACTCTCCCAGCCTTGCTCACGCCGCTGCCGGCCAGACCTGTCGGCCCGCCGAGCAGACGCCCATCTCAAGGATGCTGCGGTCACAGTGCATGCCCAGCCCTGCCAGTTTCTGACTGCCCCAAAGAAGAAGAATCTAGATTTTATGTGAACTTGCCTGATTTTTAAAACACTGGCTTTATTAGCATTATTATTTTAATACAATCTGCCAGCATCTCACCAGGCCCACAGCGCATGTCTATAATGTCTGCTTTGGGGCTGCTTGGCTGGACCCAATCGCCAAATCCCACAGTCTGGGGGTCCAGCATTTACATCTCTCCATGGCACCTCCACCCTCCAGCGCTGGCCGTGAGCTGGGAACAGGCGCCCCGCTCCGACCCAGCTCTGCCCCCGGCCAGCTCTGCCCTCCTGTGGGGCCAAGTGCGTCTGCCTTCGCGGACTTCGCAGACAGGGAGGGAGGCGCAGGGGCGGAGGCCATTTGCTCTCGAGATGTCTGACCAGAGCCCCACAGCTGCCATCAAAGCCCGGCAGGAGCACTTAGGTCACTAGTACACTACTCAGAGACGCCTCGTTTTCAGGCATTCCAAGCACTCGGCACGTCTGCGGGGGCTGGACTAGCTGCGAGGGGACCGCAGAACCGACGAAGGGCCAGGTGCACTGGTGGGCGGAGGGTCTGGGAGGGCACAGAGATATTGTCTGAGCATCCAGTATGAGCCAGGGACAGGGCTGGTAAGTGACATGCACCGTCTTGTTGAAGCCTCACTCCAACCCTGGGGGGCGGGAGGGAAGCAGCCATCCCACAGATGAGGACAGAGAGACTCGGGGCTTCTTCAAGGCCGTAAGTCTAGGGAGGGCAGAGTCAGGATGGGCACCGTAGGCTGTCGGACGCCAAATGTGCTGTTTCTCGCAGCGGTGCACAGTCTCCCTGCAGTGGGCTCGTAGGCAGTGCTCCCAAAACAGCTGTCTTCCCTGTTTGCGGCCGGGCCGTGGCTGCCACAGGCATGACGATGGCGTGTCAGCCAGGAGCGTGGGAAGCTGAGACAGTTGTGCGGCTAAAGGGAAGCCCCATTTTCGCCTGGCATGACAAAGCAGTCAAGGCTAAATTTTTTCCCCTCAAACATTAAAAAAAAAAAAATTCACTTTCATTTTGCTCTGAAGTTATTATTGCAAATGATTTTTACACCATGTAGGTGCCGAGGTTTTTAATATGGTCTTAGTCTTAGAATTTCACCCCACCCCCAAGACTTCCCCTTTAAAATCATACACTGGGGATCAGCACTCAGATGACAGTTTAATTGCTGCTTTAGTTGGTCCTTTTAAAAAAGTCAGGATCTTGGCAGAATTGTGCGCTCTGGAAGTTAAACACCCTAAACCGTCTCCACTTCTGTAAATACAACATGATCATTAGATTCTCTCGGGGTCAGTGTGAAGAGTCAAGTGAAATGTGTGTGCAAAGTCCCTGGTGCAATGCTGGGTCCCTACAGATGCTCAGGACTCACCTGCTCAGTCCCGTCAAAGGCATCGCCTGCATCTGCTCCCCTTTGCAAGCTATAAACGCACCTTTCAAAAAGCTCGTCTACATGAGGGCTTCAGTGAACCCAGCTAGGGATCTGACAGTGTCATCCCAGATGTCCTTTCAAGCCATGAGTCTCTGCTTTGGGGTCATGAACCAGACCCTCCCAGCAGAGGCCCCCCTTGTGTGCTTGCCTTTCAGATGCTGTCTCTGCATCCGCCACAGAAGACTTCCCCTTCCAGAAACACATCTTGCTCTTCAACATCTCCATCCCCAGGCATGAGCAGATCACCAGGGCAGAGCTCCGACTCTACCTCTCCTGTGAGAGCCATGAGGACCGCCCCCATGAGCCGAAGGGAAACGTGGTCATTTATGACGTCCTGGATGGAGCGGACGCATGGGGTGCCTCCGCGGGGGCCAAGACCTTCCTGGTGTCCCAGGACATCCGGGACCAGGGCTGGGAGACCTTTGAGGTGTCCAGTGCTGTCAAGCGGTGGGTCAGGGCAGACTCCACCAAGAGCAAAAATAAGTTGGAAGTGACCGTGGAGAGTCACAGAAAAGGCTGTGACAAGCTGGATATCAGTGTCCCCCCAGGCTCCAAAAACCTGCCCTTCTTCGTCGTCTTCTCCAACGACCGCAGCAATGGCACCAGGGAGACCCGGCTGGAGCTCAGGGAGATGATTGGCCACGAGCAGGAGAGCGTCCTACAGAAGCTGTCCGGCCATGGCCCCGGGGAGGCAGGTGAGAAGCAGGGTGGGGAGGACCCGGAGGGCCGCGCGGCCGCGGGGTCGTCCTTAGCCAGACGGAAGAGGAGCGCCGCGGCCAACAGCCACTGCCAGAAGACCTCCCTGCGCGTGAACTTCGAGGACATCGGCTGGGACAGCTGGATCATCGCGCCCAAGGAGTACGATGCCTATGAGTGCAAAGGCGGCTGCTTCTTCCCCCTGGCGGACGACGTGACCCCGACGAAACACGCCATTGTGCAGACCCTGGTGCATCTCAAGTTCCCCATGAAGGTGGGCAAGGCCTGCTGCGTGCCCACCAAACTGAGCCCCATCTCTATCCTCTACAAGGACGACATGGGGGTCCCCACCCTCAAGTACCACTACGAGGGGATGAGCGTGGCAGAGTGTGGCTGCAGGTAGTGCCGCCTGCGGGTGGGGGGCCAGGTTGGGGTCGTAATGGGAGGTCTCGCACCTCCCTGGGCACGACGGGGACTGAGTCCATCTGCAGGCCAGCCTGGAGAAGGAAGGGGACTGTTACATCGTCAAGGTGAAAGCTGCCCTCCCCCTTGCAGCCCCCCACGCACATCGCCGGTTTGACTGCGGGGAGGTGATGACAAGGACAGGTAGGGATCTGGAGAGAAGCCGGAAGCCGGGAAGGGTCACTGGGGTGGAAGGGGAGATGGGGAAAGGGGACAAGAGACAAAATAATCCAGAGTCAGCAGAACACTGAGCACAGGTGTGCCAGAGGGTACAGACAGCTGGTGATGTGTAGGGATTTACGGAAATTAAAGGAGTTGAGGGGGATGGGGCTTATTCCAATGACCTCGGGGAGTACGGGGGAAAGAAACGGGCTGTACACCAATCATTTCACGTATTCCCACGACCCAGTGAGACAGGTGTCATGACCCCTGATTTATATATGCGGGACTCAGACAGACAGGTCAAGGAGCACCGGTCAGTCGCCTGATTCCATCTCACAGGTTCCCATCGGTCTGTCCATCTCCAAAGCCTAGGACCTTCCCTAGTGCCCCAGCGCAGGTCAGCAGGTCACCGTGTAGCTAAAGGTCAGTTAGGTGTTGGGAGGGGGAGAGCGGGGGCACTGGGCGGAGCCTGGCCAGTGCTGACCAGTGCGGCTGATTTGCCTGTTACATCCGGGGCACATGCTGACTGCTCAGCGCCTGAGCTGATTGGGCGGCCAGTGCTTTTCAAGCCCCGGAGTCACTGAGAAGCCACCCCTACACCACCTGCAGGACAGAGTGCAGGACGGCGGCGCGGGCCACAGCCTGCGCGCGACCTGCTGCCACGCTGCCTCTGTGGCCGCCGTTCCCTCGGCCTCCTGCTGCCTGCAGACCCGCGGTGCGGCGGTTTGGGAGGCTGGGCGGCCTCTGGCCTGCATCTCTGCGGTTACGCAGCACCACCAGCTCAGCAGCTTAGCACACTGAGGCTCCGTGCACAGCGACTCCTCGGGAGCCAGGGCTCAGGAGACTCGGTCCTCGCTGGCTCAGCCGGCGCTGCCTGCCTCTCCGGCCTCCTTGAGCCGTGAGCCCCTCGGCCCTGCCCTGGGCTTGGGCCCGGGTCAGCCCCCACTGAGCCCAGGGGAGGACATAGTTTCAGTTTCCTCTGTATTCACCCTCTCCTCTGACTCCGGAGACGCACGTGGAATGGGATGGAGTGAGGAAGAGTCTCGAGTGGTGAAGACCCCGCTCCACGGCGCTCTGACCACTGGCAGCGCAGAGCCTAGAGGAGACCTAGAGAGGCCTGAGCCATCCCCACGGGTGGAAGCTCCCAGTATATTGAAAGGAAAAAATGGTTTGTGCGAAATGTTTACATGGAGTCAAGGAACAACTTTAACCTAAAAATGCAACAAGACATCACTGATAATTACTGGAGTTACAGAAAACACTGACCACTGGTACGACACTGCTGCCCTATCACAGACATGGGTGGGGTCCCCTCTCGTCCCGATGCTGTACTTCTATGCCTGCGTCAACGTGTTACTGGGAAGTAAAGTCAAATGTCTCATCTGTGGCCTTCTGTGCGTGTGAGACCTGGGCTGATGGCCCCTCCGCCCCACACCTCGCCCACCCCCCTACAGGCCCTTCTTTCCATGGGTGGGCGAAGGGGCGGGCATGTGGTGGTGGACACAGTGGGTGAGTGAACGGGTGTGCACGAGGGCATGTGTGTGGTGGGGTGTGGGCCTGAGCGTGAACGTGGGTATTTGTAAGTGAACGAGGACACTTAGCCAACATGCCATCCTCAACCCCCACACATCAGGGCAGAGAGGGCCTGGCTTTTGCTGAGACACATCTGGTCCTAAGGCATCTCCACCTGGCATCCTGGGGCCGCACAGTCCCCGCATCTGCCCCTGCACAGCTGCCCAGCTCCAGCCACATGCCCTCAAGAGTGCTTCCTGTTCTCAGCCTTTAGGTGGCTGTCCTGGCCGCCCCACCCCCGCCGCACAGCCCAAGTCCACCTGCGGGGCCCCAGCTCAAGTGTCACCCTCTCTGGCCACTTTCAGACACCCTGAGGCTGTTCTTCCTGGCCCTGGGAGCATGACAGTGTTCCCCCCTCACAGCTGTCTCTGGCCTGTGGCGGCAGGTCTCCTGGGGACGAGGCCTGAGGGCCTCTGGTGTCTGTCGCCCTGGGGCGGAAACAGCCCGTGGCTCGGGACAGACGGGTGTTCTTCCACCAACTCCCCAGCCAGAGACCGAGAGGCAACAGCACCACCCTCTGGACACTCGCCTTGTGCTGACGCAGCCAGCAAGCCCTGTGCCTGAGGACCACCCTTTGCACCGGGGCATGTGACATGCTTCCTGGAGTGTGTCCCTTTCTGTCACATCACGGCAGTGACATTGTCACAATCCACGTAGGGAGCTGAAGCACAGCAGAGTGACGATTAGGCAAGACTGACGCTGTACGGTGCCCCGCGTGGGACCCACCGGCAGGCTGGGTGCAGGGACAGGCTCGGGGGGCAGAGAGGCCACAGGCAGACACAGAGCGATGAGAATGAGTGGGGGGACAGTGCGGACAGCTGGCGGTGGGCTGGGGGCACCTGAGCCCCGGGCCGGCTCAGACAACAGCCACATGGGAAGAGACATTTCTGTCCCAATCTCGACAGTGAAAAGGCAATGGAGGCACCTGGAGACCCCACGTTGCGCTCAGAGCCACTAGCCAGGGACCGCGAGTGAGCCCAGTCATGACACCAAGCCCACAGTCCCCCTGCTGCTCCAGCCTCTGAAACCTTCTCACGGTCAAGACCACAGCGGCAGGAGCAGGAATAGAGCAGGAACGAGCCCGATGAGCCAGACAGCTGTGCTCCCCGGGCAGGCCCTGGCCCGCCTTGGCTCTGTCTCCCCTGCCCTGCTTGGTACGGTCCTCAGCCCCGCCAGGCGCCCTGACGGCTCTGTGTGCTGGACAAAGAGGAGGACGTGGCCTCCCCCATTAGCTCAATAATATGTTAGCACGGTCACCGAGCAGAGGCTCGTGCCTCTTCCAGAATTCTGCCCCCAGAGAGGGAGACCGCCTGGTCACGCCGGCCCCGCCCTTCCCTTCTTTAAGCCCACGTGAGGAACAGCCACAGGAGCTGGGCTCCCACAGGTAGGGGTCAGAGGTCACATCCCTCTGCAACTCTTTTTTCCCTTTACTAGGGGTTTTGTTCCATATCCAGCTGGTCTGACCAGCTCCCTCTGTCCTGGACATCAGTTTCTTCCCAGAACATCCCTTAGAATTCTGCTCTCCCTGCCGACGGGGCCTCTGCATCTGGGCCCAGCTCAGAGGCTCGAGATGCTCCTATACCATTACCTCGAGTGCTCCTGTGCAGGGGAGGAGGAAGCAGAGGCCCAGACTGATAGAAATGCTGCACAAGTCATGCAGTGGGGAGCCCAGGGCAAGCCCACCGGCTGTGGGGGCTCCTTCTGTCCCACCGACTCCTGCAACAGACCCCAGACTTTAGCTTTGACAGCACTAGGTGACATAAGGACAGCCAGTAGGACTGGGCTGGCCTCTTTCCCATGGTGCACTTGTGTTCTGAGGTCTCTCGAGTGCACACATGCAGGTGTGTGGCCGGCAGTCACACGGCACTGCTTGGCTTCATGTTCTATTGTCGCCACCCTAAAATTTGTAACAGTTTTTGACAAAGGGCCCACATTTTCATTCTGTGCTTGGACCCCACAAAGGATGTAGTGGATCCTGGATGCAGGTATGTGGGTGGCACCTTGGTTTCCTGTGTTCCAGGGACACTCTGGAGCTGCTGCAAGCCGCCACACTGGCTGGATCCTGGTGGGGTAGGGTGTCCGAGCTTTGCTGCTGAGAGCCTGCCCCAGGGTTTGAGCAAGAGGACCATCCCCCTCACCTGTGCATGTTGAGGAGGCCTTACCCAGAGAAGAAATCTTACCCAGTTGCCTCAGTTTCCCTGAACCTTCTCACACAGATGACTACTCCCCACAGAAGGAGCCTGTTTCATTAGTGGATGACTGCTCATTGGGAAGATGTCCCTGGCCTGGGGCCAAAGTCTGCTTTTCTGCATCTTCCTCCTGTGAGCATCTCTCTGAGTATCCTCTTTCCCCATGAGCCCTAATATCCCAGCCATCTCCAGGGGTAATGTGGGGCCTCTGCTGGGGCAGATATAGCCAGCACAGGCCATTCTAGACTGAAATAAACAAAATAAGGACAACAAAATATTGTTCCCATAAGCCAATGCAGTTTGTGGGGTTTCCACATATTTCCCCCTTTTAAAGAAGAATGGAGAGCATAGGTAATAGGCCTTTAAAAAACAATGTCCAAGCCAGAGCCTGGTCCCCTGAGCTGAGTCATTACGTTATGCTACAGAAGCCATCTTCCACAGACAGAGTTTTCCCATCAAAGCAGCTTTAGTATTGGGGAGAAGCAACTGCCCCACAAGCTGGAATCTCTCTCACACCACCCTCTATATGGACTCTGCATCTAGGGGAGTCCTACAACCTGAGGCTCATTAAATGACTGAGTCTATCAGCCAGCCTGCAGTACAGAGACAGATCGCTGGGTGCTTTGAATCTTTGCCTGGCCTTCAACTCTGCCCTGCAAGAACAAAACCAAACTTTGGTGTTCATTTTGGTCCAGTCCACACACTTTCAGCCTTGGAGCCACAAACTATGGATCATTGATATCCACAGGGGCATTTTTGCAGGTTCCAAACACTGATGAGGTGAACTGCAATTAACATGATAAGTAACTACTCAGCAGCCTGCTCATGTTGGGGAGTTGAGCATCACTGTCAGCCAGCAAGAGGGTCGAGCTCACACACAAATGGATCAATAGCAATCAAAATTTCATCACAACAGGAGGGCACACACAAAGCTCACAAAGAACATTATTAGAGCAGCCAGTTTTGGTGATCATGGAGACTGTGCCTCTGGGTCCCAAAGGTCACCTACAATGTAAGA